TCTGGGTATTGAAGACTTAGGGAGGAGGGGAGAAAAGAGATCACGTTACAAACAACACAGTTTTTTTTTTTGGTAATCTTGTAGCTCTGTCTCTATTTTCAACTATCTTTAATTATATTTTCTCTACTAGACTTTCCCAAAATCTCAGTTTCTTCTCCCTAAATTATATAAAGCAAATCCCTGTGATTTTATCTTCTAGACTACATATTTATCAAATAATTTTGATCCCTAAATGAATTCTCCCTCCTGTAAGAAAAGACGGTGCCAGCTCTTAAATTACAAACTCTCCCTCTACTCTGTAGCCTAGAGGGCCAGGCAAGGAAGGTGATTTTGGAGTGAGCCTATTGCTGCAGCACCATCCTCTGAACAGATCTTCTTGTCCTCTGTTGTCCCGTGTCCCTGAGTGGCAGAAGAACCCGAGACTGCACTTTCCATAGCCCTTAAGTCATTTCTCTTTCCCACTGCAGACCCGAGGTTCTCACGAATCTGTCAGCTCTGAGGTTGCTCCATGCTGGGGCAGGGAGGTTTGTGCACAGAACGTTGGTGACTCCGCAGGGCTGTGCCACGCTGCTGGCACAGAGATACAGGGCCGAGTCCGTCAGCTCCAAGGAGCTCACATTCAGCTCAGAGCTGTGGTTAGTGAACTGTTGCCCTGAGAATCGGTGCGAAATGCCTCCTTTTTCATTCTCTTTCCCATCGTAATATTGAATGAGGAACTCGGGGCCCTTGCCCAGGGCCTGTTGGTACCAAAATATATTCTTGTGCCCAGAGCTAGGGGAACATCTCAGTGTCACTTGCTGTCCTCTTGCTTTCATCAGGTGTCTTGGTGTTTGGGTGACTCCGGAATCCGTTGGGCCTGTGAAGGAAGAAGACAAGGTCTGGAGAAGGAACATGGGAGGCAGTACATTGCTGCCTTGGATTCAGGCAGTGTCAGGCTTAGGATGGAGAGGTCCCACTGATACCAGGGACTTACCTGCTCCCAGGAGACAAAGGGCCACACAGCACAGGAGCCTGGAGCCCATGGCAGGGTGGAGCAGAACTGGGCAGGTGTCTGCCTGCTCAGAGTTCTGGTCCCCTAATGGATGAAGTCCTGGGCATCCCGTCTCTGATTGGAGGTTAGGCAGTGATGTCACGGCTCTGATGTCATTGTCTCTGGTGGTTCTCATGATCCTGGCCTC